AGAAAAGAGAGAGGGAAAAGAGAGAGAGAAAAGAGAGAAAAAAGAGAGAGGAGAGAGAGAGAAAGAAAAGAGAGAAAAAAAGAGAGGGAAAAGAGAGAAAGAAAAGAGAGAGACCTTTTGACCTTTGCTGCACCCCCAATGGTCACACGATCAAAATTCAGCCACTGGGCATCTGGTTCATATTTATGACCCTTGCTGTGTCCCAAGGTCACGTGATTCCCCCTTTGGCCACCGGAACACCATCGTCCCCTACCTTCGCTCCCGAACACGGCACGAGGCAAAAATCCCACGAGTGAGCTGAGCCCCCCCATTCCCTTCCAAATACTTTCAGCCGAGAGGGGAGGGGAATCCCTGGACTCACACACACCTGGGGGAGGAGGGGAGCATTCCTCGCAGGTCCTAGCAGAGAGGGCGGAGGAGGACCAACCTGCCTCACCTGAGCGGCTGCTCCCAGTCTCCGTCCTCCCCGGCGGCCTGAATAATGCAAGGCTCAGCGGCGGAGATCGGATTCCTGGCCTGGAACCGCTTCGCCTCGCTTCTGCCCCCTTCAGTTGTACATCCCTCCATCCCGATGCGCATCCAGGACCACGCAACCCTGACTGCTTCCACCCCCCCCCCCCCGGGGGGTGCCGAAGGGCTACTTCCTCACCTGGGCAGGGGACGGGGCTTCTCCCAGGGGGCTGCTTCTGCTGGGTCAACACAACACCCCTTTTCGTTGCGGCCGGATTTTCTGAGCTGCCTTCATCCCTTCAAGAAGGGCAGGGCAGGTCAGCGCTTAGCTTAATCGGCCAGGACACCAAGAGGGGAGGGGGAGGCTGAGGGAGGGGGAGGGGGGCTCCTGCCCTCACTGCAGCCAGAGAAGAATTGGGGGTGAGGGGGGTTGGAAGCGTCACCCCGGTGGGTCTCCAATTGCCAGGCTAAAATTGCAACCCTCTCTTTCAAATTCCAAACTTTTATTTTATTTTACGAAAGAAGCATACCGGTTGCCCCAAACATTTTGTTTAGGGGGCCTAAAAACGAGATTTACGACCGTTTTTCACACTTATGACCGTTTTCACACTTACAACCGCTGCAGTATCCCCACAGTTGCGGCCGATCAAAATTTCAGACTCTTGGCAACAGGTTCGTATTTAACAACGGTTGCAGCAATCCCGGGCTTCTGACAAACGAAGTCAACGGGGAAACCAGGTCTGTTTTAACATACCGTGCGACTAAATCAACAACGGCGGTGGCTCGCTTAACAACCGTGGCCAAGAAAGGCCGTAAAATGGAGCAAAACTCACTCAGCAATAGGAATAGGATTTATAGACCACTTTGCAGTGCTTTCTGGCCCTCCCTGAGCAGTTTATAGAGTCGGCCTCTTGCAAACCTAAACAATCTGGGTCCTCGTTTTACCGACATCTCAGAAGGATGGAAGGCTCGAGTCGCTGAATAACCGAGGCACAAAGTCATCCCCCCAAATATAAAGTAAGCTTAATTCTATCATCATCATCCTCTTTTAACAATCCCGTAATCCCTTGCGGGGTGAAGTCTGGGCCAACGGAACGGAGCTGAGTATTTACTGGCCAGATGCCTTTGCTGTCACCAGTATGGAGGTTTTTTTTGTTCAGCAAATCGTGCCCAGGGAGAGAGAGAGAGATACCTGCCGCTACCTAGGATCGAACTCACAGCCTCCTGATTGTGGGGCGAGAGTTACACCTCTAGGCTACCTTGCCACTCAATTCTAACTATCGAAAGCCTGAAAAAACGACACAGCTGCTTTAAAGAGACCGAACTCCCTCCGTTCTGCCCCCGCATCGCTTCCAAAAGGACAAACCGCCCCAGTAGACTGGCTTCTCTGATCTTTTACGACGCCAACGCAGAATTTGGACCACCAGACAAATATCTCCATCCAGAACCGAAGTGTTCCTCCCCCCCCCCCTTCAGAACCGAAGACCGACGAAAGGAGATGGACTCACCTTCTCAAAGCTGCCGCTGGAGCCGCCATGGCTGGAGGGGGTGATTCGCAGTGGGGAGTTCCTCAGCCCCAAGGTCAGCTCTGTGGGTTTGGGGGTGGGGGGGGAGAAAAAAAGGGGGGGTGAGAGATGAGCCCCAGGAGGGCTATTGCGAGAGGATGGGCTGGCAGAGAAAAAAAAGGTTAACTAGGATTTAGGAATCGGGGAAGAGGTTTGAGAGGGACGTGAAGCTAAAAAAATAAATAAATCCAAAATGTTTCTCTGGACCAGTTGTAAGAAGGATCAAAGGGGTTTAATCTCTCTCAAGCGGGAGGGAAAAGGGGCTCCCTTAAATAGGAAGCATTCTGGGGGGGGGGGGGCTCACCCCCAAATTGGACGCTGGGCCACTTGGCACATTATCCATGACTGTTGCAAATTTCCTAGTCACTTTTGGCAAACTTCCGACGAGGGGGTGGAGTCATTTAACGATTCAACAGCCGCAGGGAGTCACAATTGGGGGCGAGGCAGGTTTTGAAAGGGGGGGGGGGGAACTCACTGAAGAACCGTCTTGCTTAACAACAGATTTGGGGCTTAAGTCACGGCCGTTAAGTCGAAGGGCGACCTACGTATCCTGGTTTAACGCCGCCGTTAAGGCCGACGACGTGCTACGTTGAAGCGGTCTCCACCTTTCCAAACAACCTTTCATCAAGCAGAATCCTGCATTTTTTTAAGCCGGCGCCGCCAATGCCCTTCGGGTCTCCCGAGCAGCAAGGCTTGGCTGGGCATGATGGGGGCTGTAGTTCAGGGCCTGAAGGATGGGTCGGCAGGTCATGTGAAGCGCAAAGCTTCAGCCGACAAACTGGTCTTCAAAGCGAAGCCAACAAGATTCGATATGGATGGAAGGAGCTCTGGAGCGTGCAAAGCAGCTGCACAACACAACACAACACAACCACCAGGGACATGCACTCCTCGGCGTCCGTAGCGGTGAGGCACCATCATCCACAGCCTTTTGTCAAACCTAGATGTTAGCCTGCTGTGGACTGTGGAGGGAGAGCTCTTACGTGGGCAACAAATAGGTTTCCTCAGCTGGTAAAAACGGAGCCGGTGCCAGGATTTAAAATACACACACACACACATGCACACACACCACCAATAAAACTTTCCATCCAGTGAAGTAGATAAACATCAGCCGGCCCGTTGCGTGCAGAAGGGATTTCGCCCAAAATAGGAAAATTTCCAACCTCGGGAACCTTTGTTCACACTGGAAAGCGGTTCGTGGCTAACTTTTCAACCGGTCGTTGCTCTAGGACGGGGTGAGGGGGTTGTGGGGGGGTTGGGGGGGGTGGGCTCCCTTGGAGCCGTGCAAGCCTACCTCCGGCTGCCCAACTTTCAGGCGTGCTGGGATCAGCCTGATCTGCAGAGCGCAGAAGAAGAGGGAGAAGGAATCAGCCGAGGGAATGAAAGGAGAGAGAGAGAGAGAGTGAGATAGAAGGAGGGAAGGAAGGAAGGAAGGAAGGAAGAGAGAGAGAGAGAGAAAGAAAAAGAGAGAAAGAAAAAGAGAAAGAAAAAGAGAGAAAGAAAAAGAAAGAGAAAGAAAGAGAAAGAAACAAAGAGAGAAAGAAAGAAAGAAAAAGAAAAAGAGAGAGAAAGAAAGAAAAAGAATGAAAAAGAGAAAAAAGAAAGAGAAAAAGAGAGAAAGAAAGAAAAAGAGAAAGAAAGAAAGAAAGAAAGAAAGAAACAAAGAAATAAAGAAAAGAGAAGAGAAGCAGCTGCCAAGCTGAGGTTTTACCAGGTGTTTTACCAGGTTCTACACCTCCCCACCTGGGCATGGCTGCTGCGTAGCCTTTCTTGGTAAGATAAGGACAGATGCAGGCTGGTCAGTCCCCGTCTAAGGGCGCTGCCGGTCAGCTGGCCTCATCTGGGTCAGGGTCACCCAAGTGCAAGTCAAATCCAGCTTTGCCCCAAGTTTGCTCACGCTCTTCCATGCAAGCCAGGATCTCCAATCTAACATATTCTTGCTGCTTTCTACCAATGAGGAGGTGCGTAGAGTATACAGAGACGCCCTCAGCATGCAGGTCAATTTTATCCCCCTCCCCCCCAAAAGCAACTCACTGCATGACCCCCCCCACTCTCCTCCAGCCCCCAAATCCACAGAGGGGGAGTGATTACCGGCTGCTCCCCAGCCTAACATTCCTGTTTCCTGGAAAAGGGAGGGAAGGGAAGAAGGAAAGAAAGAAGGAAGGAAGACAAGATGGAAGGGAAGGGAAGGAACGAAGGAAGGAAGGAAAAGAAGGAAGGAGAGAGGGAAGGAAGGAAAAGAAGGAAGGAGGAGGGAAGGAGGAAAGAATAGAAGGAAAGAAGGAAAAGAAGGAAGGAGGGAGGG